ATTTATTGATTGTAGATTTGTTTGTCTTGTCCTGCTCTTTTGTTTTATTTGGTTATGTCTGAGCAGGTGGGCTGTGGATCCTTTGTTGTTTGCTTGTCTGTGGACATGATATTTTTCACCTCCTTGTCCTATGGGCAGGGCCAGTCTCTCAGCTATGGTGTAGCAGGGCACAACCAGCTGAAGGGGAAGGGCTGAGATGCGTTGTTTGTGGCACGTACTTGGGCCAACAAGATGAGCCAGTGGTCAGCGCAGGGCAGGTTCCATTAAGTCATGCTTGTGCTGCTCAGCAGTGCAATGTTCAGCACATGGTGCAGATAAGCATGAGGTAGGGAGAGGGAGAGGTTGTGATGTGTGGAGCTAGGTTGAGTATGGAAAAGAAGTGAGAGAGGAGAGAAACAGGAGCAAAAACAATGCTGAGGGAGCTTGCCATTGGAGTGGAGAGACAAGAAACTGAGAAACAGAGAAAAACAAAAAGGAAAAAAAAAAATAAATTAATGAAAAAAAATTAAAGGGCCACATAAACCAGAGACTGCATCAGCCTGAGACCAGAAGTACTAGATGGTGCCCAGCTACCACCAATGACCATCCTGACAGGGAATGCAACAGAGTCCCTGTTGGAGCAGGATAAAAGTGGGGTGCAGAACTCAAATTCTAGTAAAAAGACCAGACTTAATGGTCTGACTGAGACTGAAGGAACCCTAGAAAGCATGGCCCCTGACTCTCTGTCACCCCAGAACTAAAACCATTTCTGAGGCCAACTCTTCAGATAAAGGTTAGACTGGACTATGGGACATAAAATGATACTCGTGAAGAGTGTGCTTCTTAGCTCAGGTAGATACATGAGACTAAATGGGCAGCTCTTGTACGGAGGGGAGATGAGAAGGCAGAGAGGGTCAGGAGCTGGTTGAATGGACATGGCAAATCAGGGGTGGAAAGGAGAAGTGTGCTGTCACAGTATAGGGAGAGCAATTCGGGTCACATAAAAATATATGTATAAATTTTTGTATGAGAGACTAACTTAAATTGTAAACTTTCACTTAAAGTACAATAAAATAAAAAAATTATAACTGAAAAAAAATTAAAAAATTAAAAATTAAAAAAAAATGTTCCCAAGGATCCCACTCGCACAGCTGCACAGACCTGGGAGTGGCTCCCAGGCCACCCAGTATAGTCCGGCTATAAGGGGTGGAGATGATACACAGCACCAGGTATTCAGAAGACAGTAAAACAAGGTAAGTAGAAAGAGATGAGAAACCGAAAAATGAAGAAAAATAAAAGGTAAAAAGAAAGAGAATACAAATGAACAAAAGAAAAGGGGAAAAAAAAGACAAAAGACAAAAAAAAAAAAAACCAAAAAGCCCACATGGCTGCACGGACTGGGAAACGGACCGGGGAAGCAGTTTCTCAGCTGAGCAGTGCTTCACAGCCTGTCAAGAAGAAGCAAAGATGACACACAGAGACAGGTGTTCCAGAGAAAGGAGGGGGAGGAGGTGAGAGGCAGGGAAGAAACCAAAAGAGGCCAAATAAAAGCAATACCAGCAACAAAGAAATGGCACTGAAGAAGCTGGCCAGTGTGTGCGGGGGTGAACTCGTGCAGCACGGAACTGGTACCTCCTGTGCCTCTGTCACGGCCCACTGGGGAGTTGCAGCTCAGCTCTCCGGGAAGCTGGGAATCTGCCTGCCAGGAAGCAACAGACCGGCCAGCTGGGAAGCGGCAAAGGTCGAGCAGGGGGAGGCAGAGTGGGGGGTGGGAAAGTGTGTCCTGCTGGTTACTGGGTGCTCTGTCTCCTGCTGGGAGCTCAGTGAATCTGCTTTTCCATATTCCCTGTCTGCTGATTTCCGGCAGGAGTCCAAGATGGTGGATCCGTACTGTGTTAGCTGATACGGATCCACTCATAACTCTCCTCTCTCTCTGTTCTCTGTCAGTTTCTTATACCATTCGGTGCTTGTTTGAGTTCTTTATCTCTTCATTTGACACTTAGGGTTCCAGGATTGACGTTTGTCTCTGTTTTACTTAGTTTTTCGGGTCTTTGCTGTAGAGGGATGGCATGGTGCTTCTGTCTAAAGTGCCATGTTCCCCTCACCTTGGGAACTTTAAAAAATGCTGATGCTCAGGCCCCACTCCTGAGATTCTAATGTAATTGGTCTAGGATGTAGCTTTAAAAGCTGCCTGGGGGATTCTAATGTGTAGTCAGAGACCAACTGCCCCCCCCGCAACTTTGATCAAATAGCTTAGTGTCCTGGTTGGATGTCATCTAAAAAATAATGCATATTTTATACCACAGCCTCAACACATATTATCCCACACATATTATCTTCTTATAGTTTTTCCAGATCTCTGTGAGTTCAGTATTAACATCCCATGTTTTATAGATGAGAAAATTGAGGCTCAGAGACATGAAGAATCTTGCCCAAAGTCCCCCAGCTGATAAGTAACGGTGTTCAGACTTAAAATTAGATTTCCTGATCCCATCTTGAGATTGTTTCCCTTTCATGGAAATTAGGAGGTCAGGTTAGATTAGAGATGGAAAATAGCTAGCATGTAGGTCACTGTTCCCCCTTCTACACTGTCAACAGGCATCATGACTAGATTAAGGCACTTTGTTTCTGAGGGAGAACAGAATCCCAGAATCTTTCTTAACACACCATCCTAGGCAGGAATTGATTGGAACTGACACATGGATCCCTGAACTAAATGATCCTGAAAGACCCTTCTAGTTCTGGAGTTCCATGAGTAGGGTTGTTGCAACAGCCAGTAGGCTTAGGAATGCAGGCCAGCAGGGTGGGACGCTTTCCAAGCCTGCTTCCTCTAGTCTCTGCCCCAGGACAAGGAGAGAGATTCCAGGATGTGTCTCAGCTCCTCCTAGCAACTCCCATAAAGGCAGGGCAGCTAAGTGGTTCAGAGTATAGGCACTGCTGACAGGCCTGAGTTTAAATCCTCATATAAGCATGCAAAATCTTCAGCATAATAGGTGCTCAACAAATGGTAGCTTAAACCAAAATTAAAAGTTAATAAATATATAAAAAGCTGGGATTCCGAGGCAGTCACCCTGGCGCCTATCCTCTTGCCAACTCCAACCTTTAACTCGTCTTCATCCTTCTTCCCTTTTCTCCCGGTCTCTGCCTCCCTCCTGCTTCCCACTCACAGAGACATGCCCCGTGCCTCTCCTGGAGCTGGGGTTCAGGGATGGCTCTCTGTCAACACCAACCTGTGCCCCGCCAGCACCTGGCACTCAGGCCACAGTACTCATACAAAACAAAAAACAAACCCACTGCCATCTAGTTGATTCCAACTCATTGCGACCCTATAGGACAGAGTAGAATTGCCCCATAGGGTTTCCAAGGAGTGACTAGTGGATTTGAACTGCTGACCTTTTTGTTAGTGGCCATATTACTTAACTACTATGCTGCCACCAGGGCTCCATAATACTCATAGCCTATGTTTATCGCACACTTACTATGTGCTAAGCATGTTACATGTTTCAACTCATTAACCTTTACAGCAACATCACGATGCACATACTGTTATCTCTTAATTGTGCACGATGAACAGGCTCAGAGAGGTATAGTAACTTGCCCAAGATCACACAGCCTCGGCTGGTTTGCAGAGAGAAGATCCATGGCCAAGGCTGATCCTCATGTAGATTCAAAGCCCCTCACAGGCAGAGCCCCTTCCAGTGGCTTCCCTGATACTCCCTGCCATGCCTAGGGCAGGCTTCGCACCCATGATTTCCAGTTTCCAAATAAGAAACCTCAGGGATTTCTTGCCTGTATGATGGAGTGAAAAGGGGGTGGGCTTTGAAACTTGGCAACACTAGGGTGCAATCCCCGATCAGCCCATTTAAAAAAAAAATCTGTGTGACTTGGGGCAAGTTCCTTTCTCTTGCCAAGCCTCACATCTGGGAAACAGCATCACCATCCCACCTCCCAGGGCTACTGTGGGGGTTAAGTAAGAACACAGTGCCTGGCACAACTTTTGGCACATAGTAGGTGGCCAAGAGAACAGCTGTGGCAAGGGGCCTGGCACACAGTCAGTGCTGCATAAATGCTTGTTGGGAATCCAAACTTAGGAAGTGCATCCAGAACATAGTGGTGCTCACTAAACATCTGTGAACGGAATAGAAAATAAAGCACCCAGGACAACAAGTATCATTGTCTTAAATGTAGATAAGACACCTGACAAGTAGTAGGTACTCAGTGAATATTAATAGGCAAGGGGGGTTGGAGCCAGAGTGACTGCCTTGGAATTCCAGTTTTTTATATATTTATTAATTTCTGATTTTTGTTTAAGCTATCATTTGTTGAGCCCCTAATACATACAAGGCTCCATGCTGAGGGTTTTGCATGCTTCTATCAACAAGTATCACTGTCGTAAATGTAGACAAGACACCCGATGGATAGTAGGTACTAAATAAGTGTCCTGAGCTGAATGCAGCTATTGTACCCAGCCTTGTGTATAATAGTTGCTCACAGAAAACACCTGTGGTGAAGTACCTGGCACACAGTAGGTGCTCAAGGAATGTTTGTGGTGACCTTAATGGAAGGGAGGTGCCAGGTACACGGTAGGTGCTTGATACGTGTCCAGTGCTGACGGATGCAGGTGAGGTGCCCAGGACACGATGCTGAAGAAATGTTTGTGGGATGCGGGCAGAAAAAAGCTCTCAAAAACATAGTAACTGAAAACCAAACCCGTTGCCATCATGACAATTTCGACTCATAGCGACCCTACAGGACAGAGTAGAACTGCCCTACAGGGTTTCTAAGGTGGATTCGAACTGCTGCTCTTTTTGTTAGCAGCCAAGCTCTTAATCGCTGCACCACCAGGGCTTCAAGCACATAGTAGGTCTCAATAAATGTGCCTGGGCAAGCTGTGTGGCACGTAGTAGGTGCTCAGGAAGGGGTATTCCCCGTGCCCTCCCCACAGGGACCTTCCCGGGGCCAGGCAGCCACTGGTCCCTGCTCTCCCCTCTCCCCCGGCTCTCCCCTGTCCACCCTTTCACCTTTGTTGTAGAGGGAACCATCGAAGTAGTAGCTGCCAGTGTAGAAACCGGTGGCCAGCTCGATGAGGTGGCGAGCCCAGGTGTTGCCGGCTCCCGGGAAGCTGGCCAGCGCGATAAGCTGCTTCGACTTGGCTGGGAGGAACCTTCTGTCCATGCAGCGGTTGTCTGCAAAGGGCGGGGCACGGATGGGGTCAGATGGAGCTGGTCCAGCCTACCACTTCCCTGCTGTATGACCCAGGCACACGATAAAACCTCCTCTGGGCCTCAGTTTACCTATCTGTAAAATGGGTCAATCGTTCCTCCCTCTCAGAGTTAATGTGAGGGTTAAATGAGATAGTGTCTGAAAAGTGGTAAGCACAGTGCTTAGCACATGGCTGTTGTTATTAGCTGCTGTGGAGTTAGTCCCCAACTCATGGTGACCCCACACACAAGGGAATGAAATGCTGCCCTGTCCTGTGCCATCCCCATTATCAGTTGTGGATTGGAACCTTGGGATCCAGAGGGTTTTCACTGACTGATTTTCAGAAGTAGATCACCAGGCCTTTCCTCCTAGTCCATCTTAGTCTGGAAGTTCCACTGAAACCTGTTCAGCATCATACAATACGCAAGCGTCCACTGACAGATGGGTGGTGGCTGTGCATGAGGTTCACTGGCCAGGAATCAAACCCAGGTCTCCTGCATGGAAGGTGCAAATTCTACCACTGAATTGGAATCCCTAATAGGTGTTCAGTGAAGGTCAGGTAGAATGAGGCCTTCTCTCCAGCCTCAGTTTTCCCTCTGGCACAGCGTGCCTGGTCATATCACCTCCACCCTTTCCTCCAACTGAAAATCTTCAATGGCTCCCATCTACAAAGGATCATGCCCAAGGTTCTTAGCTTGGCCTCCAAGCCCTGTGAGGCCTGACCCTTGCATGCTTCTTGGCCCATCCCACCACTATCCCCTCCCACCCAGACCTGCTAACCACCCTGGCCTCCCTTCACATCCTTCTCTGTGATCTGTTTCTTCTAGTCTCAGCACCTTCACACAGGCTGCTCCCCCACCATCATTGCCTCCAACCTGCCTTTGCCTGGTAGATGGCTTCTCACTGTTCAGCTCTCAGATGGATTGGTCCTTCCTTCCTTCTCTGACTCCCTAGGCTGGGTAAGGTCCCCTCTCATTACTGCACCATGTCCATCTCCTCCATACTGGTTATTGTAATTTTAATTCAAATAATTATTTGTGTAGTCAGTTGTTCAGTCAGAAACCTTGCCCTATGGCTCTTTGCTGATTCCCCAGAACTTTCCATAATATGTGGCACATAGTAGGCACTCAGTAAATGTTTCTTGGATAGATGGATGGATGGATAGATGGATGGGTAGCTGGGTGGGTGGGAAGTGGATGGATGAATGAATGGATAGGTGATTATATGTACGGTTGGGTGGGTGGTAGATGGTGGGTGATTATATGGGTGGGTGGGTGGTGGATGGATGGGTGATTGTATGTATGGGTGGGTAATTGGAGGGATGGCTGGATGGATGAATAGATAAATAGATGAGTGGATGATAATAATATCTACTTTAAAATAATGCATGTAACATGTTAACATACTGAAATGCTCCAAAGAAGTAGTTATTATTTTTTTCTCTAGCCCTAGATTTCCTCATCCATAAAATGGGTTCTAGTATTCTTGATTCTCTGTCTTCACAGAGATCTCAGGATGCCACTACCGTCAGAGTGAGGGGAAAATACATACCTCAGCACCCCCACTGCAACCCTTACTGGAGCTAAGAAGGTACACTGCTAATTTCTCCTGGCCCATACAGCTGTTCCAAGCAGGAAGCTGAGGGAAGGCCCAGCATAGGGTGCTCCGAAATGGAAAATGAAGAGGAGAGAATCTCGGATCCCAGGTCTGGAGGCTCCCAGTCCCTGTCCTGCCCTCTGCACGCTGGGCAGGTGACCGCAAGTCTCATTTACCATGAGAGGCAAGGCAGGCAGCCCTCCTTCCCCCAGCCCGCCACCAGCTCTTCCTGGTCCCTGAGCTCACAGGCTCCTCTACATCACCCCAGTCCTCTCCTCCTTTCCCCCACATCCCTGTGCCCTGCTCAGGGGTCTGGATCCCACCCCTCCCTTCTCCCCAACCACCTAGCTCCACCTATTCCCCCTGGATCTTCTCCCTCTCAGCTGGCTCAATCACGTGAACATTCACACAGGAACAAATAGCTTCATCATTCAAAAAAAAAAAAATTCCCCTCCAGTGACCACCATGTCTCCTTCACTGGTTCCCAGCCACACTTCTGGTAGAGTCCTCCACATTCTCCAGCTCCAGGTCCTCTCTCCCACTTGATCCTCAACCTGCTACCCTGCCTTCCTCCCCGCTCACTGCATGGAACCATCCTTGCTAAGGTCACAGTGACAGCTCCCCCCACAAGTGTTAAATCCAGATGACCTGACTGCCCAGCAGCATCTGATACCACCAATCACTCCACCCTGCTTAGAATTCCTTCCTCCGTGGTTTTGGGGACATGGTTCTCCTCTGACCTCTTGGTCCATGGTTTTGGGGATACAGTTCGCCTCTGAGTCTTTGGTCCATGGTTTTGGGGACACAGTTCACCTCTGACCCCTTGGTCCACAGTTTTGGAGACATGGTTCTCCTCTGACCTCTTGGTCCACTCCCACAAAGCCTCCTCTCTAGCCTCCTGACTCTCAGACAACCCCTAATTTTGGAACTCAGCCCTTTCCTCTTCTCATCCTACTCTCTGCCCCAGACATCCTGGTTCACCTGGGACAACCCTTGTCAGCCTGATGTAAATTTTTTAAAATATATTTTATTTTGTTGTTGTTGTTGAGAATATACACAGCAGAACATACACCAATGCAGCAATTTCTACACGTACGATTCAGTGACATTGATTACCTTCTTCGAGTTGTACGACTGTTCTCACCCTCCTTTTCTGAGTCGTTCATCCCCCATTCACATAAACTCCCTGCCCCTAAGGTTCCTGTCTAAATTTTCAAGTTGCTGTTGTCAATGTGATCCCATATAGGTAGATCTTAAATGAGCACAATGCTCAAGGCAGATATTCTTTCCTAGTTAAGCTAACTATTGTTTGGTTTCAAGAAGACTTTAGGGGATATTTTTGGTTTAAGGTTTAAAGATGATCTCAGGGCAATAGTTTTGGGGGTGCATCCAGTCTCCGTGTACTGATGTACTTTTAATAGTTCCCCCTTTCAGTATCAAAAGTGCTCCAGTCTGGAAGACACATTATAAGGCGACCCGAGCAGTAACTCCTACAGGACAGCTGCTTTTGCAGTGTCAGTTAAACCAAGACCTCTGGTTATTTTCTAGGACAAAATTCCAGACGCCATATGCGTGACAGATTTGGGAGAAGCCAGTGACCAACAAGGGTTAGAACTTGGCTGGGCATGAGATCAGCCCAATCAAAGCCAAGCGAAAGGTCAAGCAGTAAAAGTGATAATGGCCCCTTACGTTTGCTAAGGGCTTCATAGCACACGACACAGTCCACACCAATCATTCTGCTCAAGAGTCCATCCTAGGTAGTCAGGCCCTGGCCCAGAGCTTCAGATTCAGGTAGGAGCAGTCCTGGAGAGGTGAGGAGGAGGGGCAGAGCACACGTGTGTCCTGTTCCAACCTGGAGCAGGTGTTGGTGGCTGGGAGGAGGAGAAAGGCTTTTGCTGTAACACAGCCTCCCAGCTTGGGGGTTAACTGCATGGACTTTGATGCCTTAGATTCAAATTTTAATTCTGCCACTTACTCGCTGGATGACCTCAAAAAATAATTCATCTGATAATGTTCTACATTCTAGCCTGGTGAGTAGCATCTGGGGTCTTAAAAGCTTGCGAGAAGCTATCTAAGAAGTGGTCTCTTCCCACTTGGAGCAAAGAACGAAGAAAACCGAAGACTCAGGGAAGCAATTAGTCCACAAGAATGATAACCCACATGAACCACAGACTCCTCTAACCTGAGACCAGAAGAACTAGATGGTGCCCGGCTACCACGGCTGACCACTCTGACTGTCATCACAATAGAAGGTCCTGGTTAGAATCGGTAAAAAATGTAGAACAAATTTAAATTAAAAAAAAAAAAATAAAAAAAGAACAGACTTACAGGTCTGAAAGACACTAGAGGAACCCCTGAGACTACTGTCCTAAGACAACCTTCTAACTTGAAACTATAGACACTCCTGGAGACCACTTTTCACCAAATAATAGACAGGGCTATAAAATAAACAATAACACCTGTGAAGAACGTTCTCCTTAGAAAGGAGAAACCGAAAGGGCAACATTTGCCCAAAACCAAAGATGAGAAGACAGGAGGGGCAGGGAAACCAGAACCCAGAGAGGAAACGGGGAGAGTGCTGACACATTGCGGGGACTGCAAGCAATGTCATGGAACAATTTGTGTAAGAATCATTGACTGGAAAATTAATTTTCTATGTGAACTTCTACCTAAAGCACAAAAAGTGTTAGAAGAAATTAGGCTAATAAATGAATCTATAAAATTAGGCATATTATTAAAAAAAAAAAATTCACCCGAGCCCCGGTTCTCTCTCCTGTACAAAGGGACTGATAACAGCAACCACCTCCTGAGGTTGTTCCAAACCAAAAAAACAAACCCATTGCTGTCAAGTTGATTCTGACTCGTGGAAACCCTATGTGTTACAGAGTAGAACTGCTCCATTGGGTTTTCTTCACCGTAATCTTTACAGAAGCAGACTTCCAGGCCTTTCTTCTGAAGTGCTGCTGGGTGGGTTTGAACCACCAATCTTTAGGTTAGTAGCTCAGCGCAAACTGCGTCACACAGGGACCTTGCCTGAGGTTGTTAAGAGGATGGAATGAGAGACTGCACAGGACTCAAACGCTGTAAGTGCCAAGGGATCGTAGCTCTTAGTATTGCTGCTACTCGCCAGAGGCCCAGGTCTCCTCTCCCGCCATACTTAATCTGTTTGTTCAGAGAAGAGTAGCCTTAGAAGGAAAATAAACCAGAGAGTGTCTGTGTTGAAGCCAATTAGGTGTCTGGGAATGGTTTTCATGGGAACACAGTGCAAAAAGGAGTCTGATTTGGAGTGATGGTTATGTTTTATGTTGTGAAAGATGGGGACTGCCCAGTTGTCACTGAATTATATACTTAAAATTTGTGCATCTCGCTCTATGTAAATTTTACTTTCAAAAGTCATAAGCAAGTGTTGAATTCTAGCTAATGGCGTGCACACTGCAGTGTTTATGGATGAAGCATACAGATGCCTGCAATTTACCTGGAAATGCATAAAAAAATAAGATGGACTGATGGATGGAGAAAAGGAGAGATGCATGATTAAGCAACTGTAGCAAAATGTTCACAAATGTAAAAATCTAGGAAGCGAATATATGGGTGTTCACTGTTCAATTCCTTCAGCTTTTCTGGAAGTTTGGAATTTTTGCATAAAATGTTGGGAGGGAGAAGGAAGCCGGCCCCTTAAATCTCCCTGAGGACAAGAGTTCTCCGCTCGAACACTGCCTGGAAGGCTGAGACCAACTCCCAGGTAACGGGCTTTTCTTTAGAGCACTAAAAAGAAAGTGTATTTGATTCTTAAACCCTATAAATCAAAGCAGATGCTGGAGGCAGTACTGTATACAGCTTTGGAGTCAGACAGGCCTGGATTTCGATCCTAGGTTGTCATGGTCAAGCTGTGTGACCTTGAGTAGGGCTCTTCACCTCCCTGAGCCTCAGTTTCCTATAAAATGGGGGCAATAAACTTTACAGGATTAGATGGGATAATGAGTGTTAAGTATGTACAGTGTATGTCAGAATGCTGTGGTTAGGAGTGCTGTCTCAGGCCTGCCTGGTTTGAATCCCAACTCTGACACGTCCTAGCTGTGTGACTCTGGCCAAGTTACTCAACCTCTCTGTGTCGAGTTGCCTCATTTGTAAAACGGTAACTATACAATATATCATCAGACTGTTGGGAGGGTTAAGTGAGTTAATTCAAGTAAAGGGCTTGGACAATGCCTGGCACACAGTAGGTGCTCAGTAATGATTCAGCTCCCATCAGTATTAATTACTAAAGGGCTGTGCACACAGTAAGTATTCAATAAATGGCAGCCGTGGTGGATCAGACTCTTGGCAGCCTGATGAACCAAATGACTCCCAATCTCCCCAGTGCGCAGGGACAGAAAGTACGATGTGGAAAAATAGAAAATCTGTAATGGCCTGGGGCCAGGACACTGGGAACAAGCAAACTCATCAATTAGGGACTCTTCATCTGCCATTGAAAAGGCCCAGAGCGTCTGCTCTGCCCACATCAAAGCTGTCTGTAGTCACAGGATAATTAATCTGTATAGGGCTCTCCCTGCAGCCTGAGGCAACACAGTTCTGCACAGACAAACCAGCACATCCCCAAAGCTAACAAATACTGATCCTTCCTCAAGGAAGTGTAAGCAGAGACAAGGGCCCCGTTTGCTAAACACACTTCTGCTCACTGGGCTCTTAGTGGGGCTTTAGCCACCACGGAAGCAGCTGCAGTTGGCCACGACTGGTCCCTCCATCAGGCCAAATGGGATGGGCAATCGGTAGGGCTGCCACTAGCTCTTATGGCATCTTTGTGCAAATCAGAAAAAAAGCCACCGCTCCTCCAGGTGGGTGCACTGCCAATCCAAGGTGCATGGTGTGGTGGGCAGAGCAAAGGCTGGCATTCAGGCTCCACTTTCTCCATAGGCTGTGCTTTCCCAGTGTGCAACCTAACCACCCATACACGGCGGCCTGGATGCCGGGAGATAAGGAGATCTAAACTAACGGTGCTTTGTTGGCTCTCTAGGCTTCAAAGGGTGTCTCTGCACTGTGGACAGAGGTTTCTAGCAGGGGTTTTGGTGTCAAAGAACTGGAAGCAAATCACCTTCCTGGATGTGTAATTGTGGTCAGTTCCTTAACCCTTCTGAGTCACGGTGTTTTCAACTTTAAAATGGGGATGATGCTGCCTTGGTCAAAGGCTTGCTGTGGACTACGCATCTTAAATGAGCTGAGGTGTGTAGAGGGCTTGGCATAACGCCCTTTGGCATAAAGCCGCTTTGTTACATAGTAGGTCATCGGTATATTCAGATTTTGGGGTAATCCTTCAGGGCCTTCCTTTGGGCTGAGCATCCCAGGAGGGGACTCTCCCCCCAGTCCTCCCCAAATGTCACTGCTCTCCAAGATGCCTTACTTAGGAGAAAGGTTTTCATCTAGAAATTTTATAAACACCGTGGCCTTGGGCAAGTCTCTCTCAACTGTTCTGAGTCTCAATTTCCCTACCTGTAAAGTGGGACAATGACTGCTCCCACCTGATAGAAAAGCTGAGGGCATTCAATGAGGAAATGCAAGTGAAAGACTTAACACTGGGTCTGGCACAGAGTAAGTCCTTGAGAAACCTAAAGTGGTGCCACCATCATCATCATCGTCATCACTGTCATTATTGCCATCATCATCATCATCAACAGTGCAATCTAGCAGCCCCAAGAAATGGAAGAGAAGATGATGGGCAAGTGCTCCAACAGCAAAGGAAGAAGGATATACGTGGGAAAAACATGTGAGAGGGGACAAAGGAGACTTTATAGATAGAGTCACAGAATCGTAGAACTGGAAGTACCCTTGGAGGTCAACAATATACAGCTTCATTTTACAGATGGAGAAACTGAGGCCCAGAAACGGAGGGTGACTTGCCCAGAACCACACGGTGGGTCCATGGTGGAGTCAGTGGGAGACCCAGGTCTCCCACTCCCAGCCCAGAATCTCTTCCTGCTCAAGCTCACTGCCTCCACTACAGAGAAAGAGCCACCAAGGGGGTCCTCAGTGAGGAGGGACAGAGATGAGGGTCTCGGACCCACCACCCGTCCCCCTCCACTGCTGCCCACCCCTGGTCTCAAAGCCTGGCCAAGTTCACTGGCCCTGTCCTGTGGCCTGCGTGGTTCTCTCTTTCCTGGTGGGCTGTAAGAGACTGACGGACCAGGGCCCTCTGGAGGGGAGGCCTGGGGGTCCGCCGGGGGAGGCTGGGCTTACCTTGCACCTGCGTCTGGTATACGATGAAGTAGCTGGGCGTCCCACAGCTCTCAAACTCCTCGGCACTGCACTTCTGGGCACAGAGCTGCTCGTCCTCTCGCTCGTGGAGGGGGAATCGCGTGGTGGGAAAGCCGCAGTGGCAGGCAGTGCCCGCGAGAGCCGCCAGTGGGTACTCCTGGGGGTAGAGTGGGAGAGGCGGGGGGGGGGATGGTCACTAAATCCCTGGACAACCCTGGACTGTGAACATGGAGTAGGATTTGCATTCCAACCATCTCCTTCTTCATTACTCTCCCCTAACTATAAAAACCAGTTGCCCTTAGGTCGATTCCGCACAAGCAGCTCTGTATCCCCTGTCCACTTAACCCCCGCCCTCCATCTCTCTCCTTTGGCCCCTAAGGAGATCAGAGAAAACAGGAAGACGGAGGTTTCAGGCAGGGGCCTTCCAGGTCACACTGGCTTGTCCATGACCCCACGTGTGGTTGTCCCCCTGCCAAGGAGGAACTCTGGCCGGTCTGTACGCTTCCCAGGACCCCCAGGGACTGAGGAATGTCCCCCTGGAGGGGACACTGTGGGGGGATCCCTGCCCAGAAGAGAGTGCTGTAACAAAGGATGGCCAAGCCTCCTTAAATTTCACAAGCTCCCCACTCCTGACCTTCCAGGATGCCCCTTAGGAGCATAGCATGCACCCTGGAAGTGCCTGACGACTTGAAGCAGCCTGGCTCCCCTGGCGTGGCTCTTGGAAACCTCGTTACTGAGTCTCCAACAGCCAACCAGCTGCTGTTGAGTCAACTCTGACTCATGATGACCCCATGTGTGTCACAGTAGAACTGTGCTCCATAGGGTTTTCAATGACTGATTTTCCCCTCAGGCCTTTTTTCAGAGGAGCCTCTGGGTGGACTCGAACCTCCAACCTTCTGGTTAGCAGCTGAGTGCATTAACTGTTTGCACCACCCAGAAACTCCTGTAGGGTCTCCAGGTAGCTCTGAAGTTAAGAGCATGGATTTGGACTCAGTCCCAGATGTCAATCCCAGCTCTGCCACGTGCTTGTGCTGTGAGCTTGGGCAAGTGACTTCCCCTGTCTGAGCCTTGATTTTCTCATCTGTGAAATGGAATGGAATTTCCAACTCATAGACTTGTGAGAAGTAAACTGTGTGACCCATGGTCCTCAGGAAGCAGCAGCCTCCATGTGGTGCATCCTGAGAGGTGCCTGGTGGATTTGGAGGCTCAGGTGAGAGACATGGCCAAGCAGGGTGTCTGACCCAGAGCCAGGATCCAGGAGGAGGGGTGAGCTCTGAGCTCCCAGGAGAGGCCACAAAGCCGGCCCCCAGCCAATGCCAGGGTCCTTGAGGATAGAGACCATATAGCATTGCCTTTGCACCCCCAGAACTAAGCACAGGCCTGGCACCTAGTAGGTTCTCATTAAATATTTGCTAAATGAATGAAGTACCCAACCACCTTCTCATGGTGGAGGAAGGGGAGAGTCTACTCTGGACACCCGTGTAATCAGCTCATCTTGAGGGAAGGATGGAGCTCCTTGGACCTCACTGACTGCCAGCTCAGTGCCCAGCTCTGCTGGGTACTGGGAGGAAGGAGGCATAAAAACATCCAAGGCCCAGCCCTTACCCTTGAGGAGTTCATACTCTGGGTCGTCAAGGGTCTCAGGCTGAGAAGGAACCCATAAACCATCTAGCCCAACGGCTATCCAGTGCCCAAAGTTCTGGATGCCATCCCTGTCTGGCCTCCACATGAATATGTCCAGTGACGGGGAACTCACTCTGTCCCAAGGTGGGATTGTCCTTGCCTCTTATACCCGGTGATCTTCTACTCTTGCTTCTAGGTCCAGCTCAAATGACACCTCCAACCCTTGCTATTAGAACCTACTTCCTCAGGGGGAGAGAAATCTACTCGTGTAACTTCAAACTCTTGGACCCACATGCAACAGCTGCCCCCCTCTCCCTCTTCACAGATTGCAGGCCATAACCTCATCCTGACTAGGCCGTTGCGTCTCTAGCCAAGCATCCTGGTTCCTCTAGCACGGCCCCTCCCTCTGAGTTAGGGCCCCCCACCCCCACCCCGGCTTCTGTGCACAGGATCCTGTGCTCACCTTCCCAGTGCAGAAGTCCACGCACTTGTCCACGGACATGTTCAGCATGGCGGCCGTCACAGGCAAGGCCAGGGAGAGGTTGTCAGGCCTGCGGAAGCAGCCTCGGAATACCGCACTTCCATCTGCAGAACCATAGGGAAAAGGGGTAGTCAGATCTAGGCCGGGAGAACCACCTTCTGAAGGAAGTGCTCCTAAGCTGAAGCCCAGAGAAGGCAAGAGCCTTGTCCAAGGTCACACTGTGAGACAGAAAGATAAGCCACGTTTTCTGTTCTTGAGCTGGTCTGTCCATAGCCAAGGAACTAGATAATTCAAAGAAAGTTCTCCTCAACCCTGGCGTATTTGTGAACAATCCAGGTCTCTGGGAAGAAGATCGTCCTTGGTCACCATATTGCCTTTTCTTTGTTAGCATTCTTATGTTTTCCTTCCTCATTCGCAATGGTAGCAACTTTCCCTTCAGGGAAGTGATATATTCCAGGGAGGAACATCACGATCGCATCAGGAGGGGGCTGAGTGTTTGAGGATCCAGGAGAGCTAAGGGTTCAGGGTTGTCTTGCCCCTCCACCTCCCATCATACTGGGATTTAGGGGGGGAATTCTGAGTCTCCAGGGTCTTTACACACCAGGTACTAGATACCTACAGGCTCCAAGGGACTGAGATATTGAGGAACTGCTTTTAAGACGACATAATCCCACTGCACAAAAGAAAAATTCGGAGGCAACTGCTAATCCTTCACTACAAGTCAGCCCTGAAGAAAATTATTTACGGATGCGGTCTTAGGCGAGGCTCCCTAGAATGTGATTTATGGAGGACGTGAGCTCACAAGGGGCGAGGGGGAAGCAGGATAGGGCAGGGGAAGGAGCCAAGCTAGGCTGTGACCTCAGCTGCAGCCCATCTTCTGCCTGACCCCATAGAGAGCCCTGGAGAGTGAATTGTACCGAAGAGTCGGTCCTTAAGGAAAGGGGCCAGTGCCCGTCAAGTCGACTCTGACTCATGGTGATCCCACGTGCGTTAGAGTAGAATTGTGCTCCCAGGGGTTTTCAGTGGCTGATTTGTTGGAAGTAGATGGCCAGGCCTTTCCATGGTGGTACAAACAGTTAATGGGTTCAGCTGTTAACCAAAAGGTTGGTGGTTCAAGTCCATCTAGAAGTGCCTCAGAAGAAGGCCCTGGTGATCTACGTCTGAAAAATCCGCCATTGAAAACCCTGTGGAGCACAGTTCTTCTCTGACACACATGGGGTCGCCATGAGTTAAAATCGACTCCATGGCAACTGGCAAGGAAAGGCGGCTGGCCCTGGCCTTGTGTGCCCTACTCCCCACTGTGTCATTCAGCTGTGGGCTGCCCCATCTTCTGGGACAGAGAGGCTGCTCCTATTGGGCCAAGGGCAATTTTCAGAGAACGGGCAGCTGTGAGCCACTAGCAACCAATAGTCAAAGCAGTAAAGGGGATTTGGGTGGGCACCCATTGTATCCACTACAGATGTGCACAAAGATTTGGCAATAAGGATGTTTGTTGCAGCGTTTTTTAAATTAACAAGTAAAAGATTGGAAACAACCTTGACCTAGATGTCCAACATCCAAAGTCCATGCTTCTTCCAATAATACTATGTACTATTATGATTTATGGGGTCCTGGTGGTGCAGCGGTTAAGAGCTTGACTGCTAACCAAAAGGTCAATTGTTCGACTCCACTAGCCGCTCCCTGGAAACCCCATGGGGCAGTTCTACTCTGTCCTATAGGTTCGCTATGAGTCAGAATTGACTCAACAGCAACGGGTTTATTATGATTTATGCTTGTATTAATGTCCTAATACCCTTGGTATCATGACAGCCACTGTGTAGTGGTCACGTGTTATCTGCCAGCAACAGCGTTGAGCCCTTCACACAGGCAGCCTCACTGAACCTTCACGTCCACCCTGGTGGAATAAGGACCCCCATTTTTACAGATGAAGAAACTCAAGGTTCAGAGGGTTGAAACCACTGTACACAGGTCACCAAACTTATAGGAGGCAGAGCCGAGCCTGGAATCTAAGTCGGTCTGAATTCAAAGTCAGATCTTTCCACTCCCACTGCTGTAATGCATCTCTGTGTGCCAAAAACTGTGATAAATGTTTGATATACTTTGTCTACTGGAATCCTCTTAACCCCTACCAGGAAGGTCTCATTCTCTCCATTATACAGAAGGGAAAACAGAGGCTGAGAGAGGGAAAGTGACTGCCCAAGGCTACATAGCAGACCAGTAGTAGGAACTGGATTTCAAGCCTGAATGTCTGGACTCCGGGCCTCCCAGTCTCCTGAGCTGTCCCTCTTTAAAAAGGTCCGGCTTGCGCATGTCAAAACTGCCCTTCACATTCACGCAACCTTTGACCTTTGGCCACTAACCATTCAGAAAGTCAGGGCTGTCATTCTGGAGTCGCTTGACACAAGTGTCCAATTCTCTTTAAGCATCCCTCAATGTTCCAGATCTCGACCTGAAGTCTCCAGAACTCTCTTCCAATTATTCTCCTACCTCTTCCCTACAGGACCCTATTTGAGGGCCCATGCTAACATCCCTTGGGTCACAGCAAGGGCCAGGAATATTGCCGTGGGCAAGAGTGCTGGGGTTGGGGCCAAAGGGGCCCCTCAGGGCTGAGGCAGTCCTGGATCCACTGTAGGGGTCTGAAGCCCACCACCTCTCTTCCTCCAGGGTGGGTTCTTTCCTGGAGGCCCCTTCCACCACCCTGGTGGGGTCTGAGGGCCCCAACACACGACTGGGCAGGAGAAAGAGAGTAGTGTCAGAAGGGGTGAGGGCGTGTGGGTGAGTGCACGGGGCTGGGTATGCATGTGGGTGGGTAGCTGTGGGCCTGGCTGTACCCAAGTGTGACTGGGCCATGAGGCATGGGATAAATGTGTGCCCAGGGGTCTGTGTCTGGCTGTGCCTGAGAGGTTGTGCGTGATGGGGGGCCGTGTGCATGCGGTATTCATGTGTGTGGCTGTGTCTGCGGGTGTGGGAAGCTGTACCTACCTGTCTGGGCATGTGGATGCTGGAGTCTGAGAATGCAAATGTTACCCTGTGGACCTTGGTCATCCACAGGTATGTGGGTCTGTCCATGTGGAAGTAAGGGACTGTGTGCTGGGAAGGAGCCCTTGTGGCACAGTGGTTAAGTACTCGGCTACTAACTGAAAGGTTGGCAGTTTGAACCCACCAGCAGCTCCGAGGCAGAACAATGTGGCAGTCTGCTTCCCTAAAGATTTACAGCTATGGAAACCCTATGGGGCGGTTCTACCCTGTCCTATAGGGTCGTTATGGGTCAGAATCACTTGACAGCAATGGGTTTTTTCGGTGTGTAGACCTGTGTCCACCTGTCTGCCTGGTCACATGACAAGGCACCTGACGTGGGCACGTGGGTCCGACTGTGTGCGTCTAACCTCTACAAGTGTGAGTCTCATCATGGGGTGTTGACCACGTGGGGACACTCACCCCAGGGGATCTCTCTAGGTTGCTTGGCAACCAGTTAGCTGAGCCGGGGGCTCCCCGCTCCTTGCAGAGTATGAGTTGAGTTTCGGCCAACTTCCCACCTGACTCAATGCCACCAGGGGCTGGCCACTTCCCAACGATCCCAGAGCAGCCAGCGCCTTGGTTCGAACAAACATGTTGGTTTCCCCTGTGCACAGCCACCTCCTGCTGGCACCACCAAAAGAGAGTAACGGGGGGTGGGTCCCTCTGCTGGAGTCCGGCCTGGACTAATGCCTACAGCACATGGACCTTCACACCTGCTGCCCACAGCCAGGGATGCTGCTGGGGCTCCACCAGTCCTTTTACAACAGTGGCTGCCGCGTGCAGGTCTCTGTACTGGAGTGTGTGTGTCCACTTGTGGGCATGTGAGAGCTGAAATGTACCCTGGGTGGTCTTTGGCGTCACCTGCCATCAGGGGTCACCCCTGCATTCTCTCGCAGACATGACCTCGAGTAATTGAGGGCACTGGGGCATTGCTCAGGGTCCCTTGAGTCTACGTGCTGTTCATCTGGGTTTCCTGGGCCAAATGCTCTGGCCTCCTCCTCCCCCTAGCCGAGTCTGCTCAAAGACCACATGACCATGTGTCTCCAGACAGCCTGATCTCTGCTTCCGGTTCCAGAAGAAGCCCTCCAGCCTGGGACCATACCAGAAGGCCCTTCCCTGGACCAAGAGGCTCAGGATGGAGAGATGAGTGGCCCTTGCCAAGAAACAGAGGCAAGCGACTAGAGACGCGAGTTCTAGGCCTGACTTTGCCGGCCGGTGCCTGCAGGCTGCTTCTCTGGAACTCAGTGTCTTCATCTGTAAAATGGGCAGCTCTCCTCCACACAGTGCCCACCAGCAGCTTCAGCCTTCCCAGCTGTTTGACCAAAGGTGAGTGAGTTTCCTTTCGTAGGGGCCTCAGTTTCCTCCTCTCTAAAATGGAGGCGTGAAAATTGGGTGGATCATTTGAAGATGGACATAGCTGCGTCTTGTGAGCTGTGCTGTGGATACTGGGAGGGGCAGGCAAAGCTCATTGAGTTTGTCTGTCTCCTTGTAGCTGTGCTTAGACCAAAACAGAAACCGAAAAGAAGGAGGAGGAGGAAGTTGAATCCCTACCGTGGCACCTCCCCAGGCAATTTCTGCGGCCATCAGGAGGCCAGGCTGCAAGGGTGGAAAGAGGAAGGGAGGCTCTGTAAGCCCAGCTCCGCCAAGACTGGTCTCCCTTTAACATTTAAGCATCTGCTAATGAGTCCCTGACTCTCTCAGCTTAGAGGAGTCCCAGCTGAATGCCCTGAATACCAAGTGAGGTGAGGGCTTCAGAGGCCTTAAAGGGCCAGCACTACGTTGTGAGTCTCTCTTTGGATGAGGTACATGGTGGGGATGGCGGCTGGAGAGGGGAGCATGTTTAGGAAGTCAGTTCTGTGAAACAGATAACCGATTGGATAGAGGGTCTTCCTGGACCATTCTACTTTGGAAGAGGGATTGCATGAAGTCACAGAGGGCTTCAAGATGTCCAGCAGAAGGCTGGAGAATCTTCCGAGCCAGCAGGGATCCCGGGAGCACTTTGGAGGCCATTTGTCTCTGCAGGTTGCTCTCCACTACAGCTTGGTCATCGAACACTGAGAATACACACAGCAGCCAAGGCATTTAA